CGCAACAACCCAGAAGACAGAAATCTTCATACTCACCGCTGTGAAAACCTCAAATCTTACATACATGAACATTGTCTGCGTACCTTCAGATATTGAAACGATGAAGTAAATGTTTGTATGTTTCCAGAATAAAATCATCTTTCTTGTAATAAATATAACAACACGATGTTTACAGAAAATACGCTGTCTCCTAAAATGCCAGTCACCCATACATTAACCTGTGCTGTTTAATGATGAAAAAAAAATTCCTTATCCCTAAATTACGGGCAAAACGGACTGCTGAATAGGTCACTCCTCGTTAGCCGAAGCAAATAAAAAGGGAATAGATAAAAGGGGAAGAGGGGAAACAGAAGATGCGTAAAGCAAGAAAGCGGAGCTGTAACTTGACATCTCCGTTATAACGGGAATTCCAGAGAAGGTTTAGGACAGTTGCATTTCGGATAAACTGCTAAGACATTAATATATAGATGAAGGCTACGTTTCGCCAGAAAACTCACAGTTAGAATTTTGTCACGGCAGTTGACAGCGTACTTGAAAATGTTCGTGCGTGATGGAACTGACTCACGGACGTCGTGGGTAGCTCGTTTCATGCAGGCCTCGCCTCTTTACTATTTTAAGAGGGCATCTGCCTATTCTTGTTACCCTACGCTCCTCTCCTGCGTTCATTTCTAGACACTTCCAAAGACATGGCGTATGTACGTCAGGTCTCTTCACGAATAAGAAGAGAGAAAATTGAATAAAAATTTTCTTGGATATTATCCATCGTCTAGTAAATATAAAACGCAAAACGATGGTCCGGAGATAGGGATTAGCTCTATCTAGTGGGCCCAACTGTGTAGGAACCTGAAGACGGAGATAGAGTCCCATCTCCGAAACGTCGTTTTACATTTTATATTTACTAGACGATGGATAACATCCAAGAAAATTTTTATTCAATTGACTCTTCACCATCGTCAAGAAGTTTTAGATTTGATGTAAGAAGAGAGAAAGTTTTATATCTCTTCAGAAAGAGGAAAAAATCCGACCTCGTCATTGGTTAAGTAGCCGTATCACAGAACAGTCAATAAAACTCGTATTGTTGTCGCCTGCTAACGGCTGCTGTGCCGTTAAGCTACAAGGCACATCACCTTCAGGCACTCACTTGTCAGAGCTAGGTATTGCGTCCGTCCACCTTTTTAGTACTGCACTTCTGGCTTCGAGGGAAGTGACGACAGATGAATAGGACGAACTGATTAATAGTGTAAGAAGTTGCTTCCACTCATTAATTTCTCTTATGATTAAGTGGTTAATTCGAAGCTGTTATACGAGTTTAATCAAAAGTATATCATTTTTACATTTTTGTCTGGTTTGTAATTGAAGTAAGAGGGTGATTGTAAATAAGTGCTCTTTCGCAATATCACAGTTTCCTTTCAAATTAGGCTGTAGATCGATTATATGGAGCCTTTTATCGAAGTGTCATTAGAATCGTGTACATTCTGAAATAAATCTCTTCAGTACTACTCTTTATGCCATTAAAGGTAGTCATTGTGAATTTCAAGACAATGGCTGCTCGATTATACTAATCTTATGCGAAAGGTTCAACAATTTCCCGTTAATTTAATGGGCATTGTTATGTCGAAACGTTCAAATTCGACGAATATCAGATAGCAAAGTGGCTTTGCACAACAAGCCTTAATGTGTGAGAGACCTCTTCGTGATCCGTCTGTAAAAAGACAAATGAATAGTAAATGGTGATCGCGTGATGCTCGAAGTTAGGGTGACCCTCTCTCCTCCTGTAGCCAAGCAGTCTTTTGACAAAAGACTGTAATCATCAGCAACTCTTGGAACACGAAAATAGTTTATGCGACTGTCAAGGATGCCATAACCTCACTTTTCAAGTCGAGAATAGAGCAAACAGCAAAACGATGTCATCACGAGTCAAATGTTATGCAAGGTAAGACGGAAGAGACTAACTAGGCGGCTCCTAACCGATTTATAGACGAACCACATTTTCGACGCTGCTGCGTTCTTCCACTCATTTAAACCAATTCCGGAAGGCGCTGTACATTCATAATACAGTAAGCGTTTTTAAACTGAACCGGTTTCAGGGAAAGCCTATCTTGACGGAAAATATTTCTGATCCTGGGACCGTAGTTAAACTGAAACATTCTCAAGTTCCTTACTTCTCTGTTATAAGTAGAAATTTTTCTATAAATTTAGGAGCCATTTGAACAACTTAGAGTCAGAATATATATCGGAGGGAGCATTCATGTCGACCGCGTTAGCCTGGCCAACACTTCGAAAAACGAAAAACATTATTTTCCTGGTCCAGTGGTATCCATACACTGGAACACACCGGAAGC